ATCTCAACCTATCTCGAGGACGTCCAATATACAATAAAATGTCTTCATATGCATGAGGCACCAGAATCTTACATGCTCATATCAAGTCAATCGTTCAGTTTGGTTCAGAATTCACCAAGATACCTTTACGGATTTTTCAATGAAAGTAGATTTTCCACAGGGGTCCTGCCTGTTTCCACACCTATATTCTCTCTATACGTACGACTTTCCTATGTATGGCATATAGGTGCCACACAAAATGCACACTCGTATTCCTGCGAAGTGGCAACAAGCCAACTCAAAATTCATTTGGATCGGTTAGTCGTACTTTATATGGAAATTTACGAAGAAATTCACTAACGTGAACATCTTCAGATAAATGACAATTCGGGAAAATTGTGTAGACGAGCAGAGGAGTGCAAAATACCTGGGAGTTATCCTGAACAAGCGCGTGAATTTCCTAGAGCACATAAGTTTGTCAATTCGGAGGCCAGGCTGGCTATGCTGTACGCTTGTCTTGTGTTCTGCAGCCTCAAAGATATTCCGTTATCGAGGCTTGAGAGAATGCAGAACAGAGTTCTTCGTATGTGACCGATAGTAATTGATAAGTTTCATTGGAGTGTTCGCGAGATATAGCAGAAGTCAAATCGATTGAGGATTTTATACGGCGGCTCGTGTACAAACACTTCAAGTGGTTTCTCCCCAAAAGCCCGCTGATTAGTTCAGTCACAGCGATTAGATCTTACAATAATTGTCAGCCCCGCCGTCACGGCGGGCTGATTTATGAGAGCTTAGATAGTTTCCACGAACGACGTGTGTATGACCAATTGTAAGTTCATGAAAGATATTGGAACAATTTTCACAAATATTTTTATTTTCAGACACGTTTCGCTAACACCGTAGCCCCATCGGTAGCTACTGAGAAACAAAAAATGTTTGTGAAAATTGTTTGATCATTATCATGGATAGTGTTATTGATTTTCATCAAGTGATGTGTCTTTTATAATACACCTCAAACAACAGCAGAAAATCTGAAACAACGTATCAGAGGAGCCGTTCTAGGTATAAACCCGCGTATGTTGGCAAATGTTGCTGAAGGTTTCTGAATAGAGTCTGATTATCGCCATTTTGAACACTTGATATAAAATCTTGATTGTTTCTTTTCAAGGACAAAACACAAACACTTCGGAAAATCGCTATAATATCGGTGACTGTGTGAAAGTAGCGATTCACGTTAGATTTGAATCCACCATTTGTATCCACCATTAAAAAAATCCTTCATCATTTGAACTAATACCTACATAACATTCAAAATATTGATCAATAAACGCATATAACATTAGATCTCTTAGATCTCGGTGTTTATTTCAATCAATTCAAATTTGTCAAAACGCCATAAGCGACTTGATGAATAATAAATTGAATAAAATCGATTTGCATTAAATGTCTATTTTACTTGAAAATGTGAAGAGTTAGCTATAGGCATATATACTAGTATTCGATAGAAAAAAAATTGACATTTGCTGTTAACATAAAATACAGGACGTTCAATTCAAATTGAAAAAGTTATTGCTGTTGAAAGGTTGTAATTGTTTTCACAAGTCCGACATAAAAATTGTTCAGTTAGAAGCCTTCAGCCTTCAACAGGAGAAAAGTTTTTTGTAGATGGCTCGTTAAAAAATTTCGCCAAAATAATGAAATAAAAAAAATGTTGTGTGATGAAAGCATATTTACCAACAACTGATGGTTCAACAGTAATATACATTATCACTGGCGACAAGAAAATGAATATTTACATTTGGTTACCAATTTTCAAGAGAGATATGGTATATGCCTCGATGTTCTTGATAATGAAATTATTAGCTGCCACTTTTTTGAAACATCTCTGACCGGTGAAGTATACTTGGACTTCTCATCAGGGACTCTAATTGAGTAGGAATCATAGTATGGGGACAATCACCTGCTGCCAAACGTCTCTTCATTACACAGAAAAAGTGCATTCGTGCCATGTTTTGCAAACCCCAAACAGAATCTAGTAGACCTCTCTTTAGAAAGCTACAAGTATTACACCCCTTAATGTCGTAATGACATTCACGGTTGTTTCACCAGGAATCGGCATTTGCTCAATACTCCTCTAACCAGATTGAACCTATCACAAAACAGTCCTCTAAGCATCGGAATTCGAATTTTTGATAAAACTCCTCAAAACATCAAAGATGAACCTACCTACTTTAGATTCAAGAATTCACTGAAAAAAAGTACTAATTGAGGGTGCATTCCATACTTTGAAAGAATTTTTTAGTATATAAATCACTGATAGTATATTCTGTAATGCTCTATGTGTAATTGCATATTTTAACTTGATATTTACTACCTACTCTGTCTGTACTTGTACTTATCATTTTAACATTTAACTTTTTACTCTGTCTCTATAATCCAAATTTTTGACATGTCGTACCACTTGTGGTCTTCAGATTAATAATAAATTTGATTTGATTTAAAAAAAACCTATCAGGACGTAATCTAGTGAATGATTGTAATCAAAGGATTCAGTGCGAGAGAAATTCAAGATGCATTCAAACATGATTATACCTATATCGGTATAAAATAGCAGGATGTACGTTTTTACGGAGTCTCATAAACATATGCTTTAGTTTATGTGGAGCAATTGATTTGCTCTCGAGCTGAACATACGGAAATTATATTTGTGGACTATCTTTCATATCAAAATCCAATCAAACAAAACAAAAAAGTGGGAAAGTTAAAATTATATGCGATTGTAACGTTTTTCCTATTCAGTTTTGAGAACAATTACTGTTTTCTCTAAGTAATATCTTGATAAAACTTTCGAAAGATACTCACCCTATCAGGATTATAAAGATGTGTATGTGGAAGTAGAAATGTAGAACCTAAGTCTCTCTCGGCCATTGTATTTGCCTCCTGAAATGTGAAACAATTCAAGATATATACCTGGCAAAGTAGATAGAAAATTAGGCAACATAAATGCCCTATATCTTGAACACTCTAGTAACACTGTTATACCTATGCGTCAAACCAATAAGAAACATACTCTTATGTGAGATTCCCAGTTGAAAGTTCACAAAACCGCGACACGTATTTCGCTATACGATAGCATCTTATTCAGGTGTACAAATTCTGTGTCGTGCAAATGGACATGGTCTCACTTGTCTTATTCGCAACATTGCCTTCTCTTTCACTTAACTCCATCCTAGAAACCAGTTCAGAATATCATTCCGACTCTCACATCATATACATCTAATTGTCTGTTGCTCAACGTTAGCAGAATGAATCTTGTCTCTGTCGTCTTTGTAGCTTGATACATTTTTTCCCTATGGAGTTTTCATTCAGTCGCTGACTATTTTGCATGCATCTTTGAATTCGAACACTTTTTCTAGGTGCTTCCTGATTTCGTCAATGTCCTAAATGTGCGTATTCTGGTTTGTGTAACTGGTTGGCGAAATAAATAGCAGATCTGACGGTATTTTCATCTTTCTTGCATTTATAGGTAAAGATGCAGAACAGTTGATTACATCGTGAACAACTCTCCCATAGGTATGCCAGCTGGGCCTAGTTCTTTTGGTTTTCTGAAATGTAGATGGATATCTGAATTTTTTGCAATTCTTGGCACAGTCCCGTATCAACATTTTTGTTGATCAGAATGGTGTTCATAGAGCACGCGGTGTCTGAAAATATATTATCGAAGAACACCACTACTACTGTACCAACCATCTTGATTTGGAATAGGAATAATCTCAGCCCATTCAAATGTGATCCATTACAACAATTTGCATTTGCTTCCGTTGCTGCTCTCGAGAAAGGGCTTGGGTATATCGTTCACTACTCTCTCATATTTATTTTTTTGACTTCTCGTAGAACCTTCAAGATCACACCATTAACACTATTCTCTAAGGTCACTACGATAGGAGTCTCTCCCGAACTTTCGCCAGGAATCTTTCAATACCGAAATACTCTCGTATTCAACTTCCTTTCTTATTTTACAGCCTTTGTCAATACTGTATTTTTGTTTCGAACGTGGTCTCTTCTTGATAAGGTATCAAGGTTATGCATTTGGCCACCACAGTGTACGCGATGGTATTGCTCTCAGAGCTCCTCAAGAATGTTCCTGCACTGATTGTGCGATTCCATAAAATGTCTTCAAGTCGTACTGTTGATGTGTCTCAAAACACTTGGGAAATATGGCGAAGCCATATTGTAAGGCTCTTGTAAGGCTCTTGAAAGAAACTTTTGATGAGATAAACAAGAATTGCAGAAATATATTATCGGCACACGTTCCCAATAAAGTGGGCTTCATTCTGGGTTAGATGTTTTTTCAGGTAATCTCATAACTTTTAGTCATATTTTATCTCTCCAGTAATTGATGAAGATCTTAATAAAACTTCAGAACAAAATGTAAAGAATTGATATCAAATGCATCGTTGGGGTGTGTCAATTCTGGAAAAATACAAAACTGAACGTAATTATAAAAACTATTGAAAAATAAAACCATATAGTAAAACTATGAGAAATCAAAACATCAAAGAATAACGACTTTCGCGAAAGTGATCCGTTGCAAAGCCACCCTTCGGCATCAATCACCAAAAGTGGATTCAAATATGTAAATAGATTACTCACATCATTTGGATGCTGGGATGAGGGTTTCGAATCGTATTCTGTTTGGAATGGTTTCATAGGTGGCGGTATGGTTGTTTCTTCACAGGACCTTGCTTCTGAGACACTCCTGTGGAATAAATTATTGATTTATTTGAAAAATAAAAGTTTATAAATACATACATCACTCTAGGGACCATATCGAGCCAATGTGTGGAATTCTCTAAATCTTCGTCACTGAAAAAATGCTTTTGTAGTAAAAACTAATCATTTTTCCGAGTACCGAATAAATCTCATCAGTACGTTTTAATTTTGAATGTTTGATCTTTGAATGACTTTCAAAGGTTAAATTTAGAATCACTCAAGGTTATATAGGAACGTGGAGGAAAACTATGGGTTTCTATATAAACACAACGATCATAGCTGAATTTACTGTCATGTAGAAAATTTGTTTTATTAGATGTTTAACCTTGAACTCTAGTTACTCAAGATCAATTTTGTCAGTTACTCAAGATTTAATTTTGTCCGCTACTTTCGTGATAAAAAAGTGTTCCCATTTAATAAGTCAACCTTGACTTTCGAATAAGTTGCAGTCATGGTCAAGGTCAAATCCAAGGTCACCATGGGATAGCCAGGAAAATTCAGAACCCATGGTTCTATTGATTTTTTTCAACCAATCCACATTTTCAAGTAATTGAGCCGTTTAGCAGACTTTTAAATCACCTTGTAAACTCAGTTTTAATTAACTTAGTCCAAATTTTTGTAGGTCTGCGAAGTATATCTATCAAGTAGCTGATGCATTGAACTATTGTCACCAAAATGAAGTTATACATCGTGACATCAAACCTGAAAATCTATTACTGACTACGTTAGGCGATGTAAAACTAGCTGATTTTGGATGGTCTGTTCATGCTCCTTCCTTGAAGAGAAATACCATGTGCGGGACTCTTGATTATCTTCCTCCAGAGATGGTGGAAGGAAGGGAATACAGGCATTATGTTGATCATTGGTGTTTAGGTATGGCGGAGAAACTTTCAGTCTTTGAATACTAGGAAATAAATTATTTTTCAGGTGTTTTATGTTATGAGTTTTTGACAGGGAGTCCTCCGTTCGAAAGCGAGGATCAAGACAGTACTTATAAAAAAATACAGGCGGTGGATGTTAAGTATCCTGACTCCATTCCTTCTGGGGCTAGAGATCTAATTTCTAGAGTGAGTACTATTTCTCAATGAGATTTCTATTCTTTATATATTTTTTCTTTACTTACTCTTTCCATTACACTCTGCTACGTTCAATTGAAAAACTGGAGGTATTTGATTTGATTTTGTTTCAGCTACTGGTTCATAGAAGTGAAAAACGAATGTCTTTGCCTGAAGTGATGCAGCATCCTTGGGTTCAACGAAACAAGTGATTTATTTTATGTTATCAAATGAGATAGAGAGTAATTTTTAAATCGAGTTATTTGTGGCTTGAATATGAAAAAAGTAATAGTTCATTTGATAACTCTGTTTTGTTTTTATCAATATTATATTCGGTTTAAGAACATTTATCATTTCATTGTACTGAACATTTTTCAGCGCCTAATATTATGAAATACATTATTTTACAATTTTGTTATATTTTATTAACATATACTGAGTCTTCTTACTTTTATTTAGTTGAAAACACTACATAGGTTTGATTAAATTTACTAAATATTCGGCAGTGAGTATTATTGAAGAATTCTGGAAGGAAAGAAAATAACGCCGGCCGCCATTGGTAGCTATAAACCAATGGTGACGTAGCGAAGAGCACGCAAATGTATGATGATTCCCTGCCACTCTAGTGTAGTCAATATTTGGTAAACCCACAGGGAAAAACGTAACATTTGATGTCAGAAGTGGGATAATTGACTGAAATTTTTCTGTTTTATGATGAAAACAAGGAGTCTCGATTACGACGGAATGGAAAAGCTTGAGAAAATGTTTGAGGCTTTGCAAGCGAGTCTGGCAGAGAATGAAAAACGCAGAAAAGAGGAAGATGAATGCAAAAGAGAGGAAGATGAACGAAGAATAGAGGAAGAATAATTACGCAGAAATGAAGATCGTGAATTACTACTTGGTATTCAGGAAAAACAGGAAAAAGACAGAGACTTGTTAGTGAATATTCAAGAAAAACAAGAATAAGAGAGATTTGCTGATAAATATACAGGAAAAATGGAAAAATGACAATCATTTATTGGAAGAATTAAAATCTTCCCAAATTAGTAAAAGAAAGATACAGGGATTTATTCAGGAAGAATTTGGAAAAGTGTTTCAGGAAATTACAATTACGATTACGATTTTCAATGTCGCGGAATAAGCTTGATCTGCTTATGTCATCGATGACATCGATGACATAATTATAAATTATGAATGAACTGTGTGTATTTTCTATAATGTTATCCAATTTGGTACTAAAGAGCCTTGGGGCAAGTGTCTTAAGGCGAAACATCGGTGTATACCAGTGAGGGTGACAGTGTTCTATGTGAGTACAATTTATTACCATTCATTTAAAGTAGAAATCATGTGAATAATATCTGATTTTTATTCCACAACGAATGTTTGAAATACAAACTGAGTAGAGAAAAGTATCATCCCAAAAACATCCTATATGTTTAAGCAAGTTCAGAGAAAACTCGAATCCGGAATCACACCCGTGAATTATTATTAGAATTATTATCAACAATTTTCAGACACTCCATAACAGAAGGGTTGATAAAAATTTGAGAATAGTTTTTAATGGAATTGTTCACTGTCCTTCGTTGCTATTTAGGTTCAGATTTTCAGTACCACCCAAATTTACTAGAAATACAACTATATTTTTTTTAACCACACTTCAGAACAAATCAGTATCTTCATTCCTTCATTCCACGATCTAGTAAGAGCAACATGAAATACAGATTTGTATTTTTTCACTTCTGCATCCAAGTGTCAGGAGCAGCTGAATTCGGGATGGAGTATGTTGCTCTTACAAATGTCTTTCTGATAGGGCAATACATTTTGTGAAATATATCCATACATATATTTCTGATTCTTGTTATTGCATTTTTAATCACTGACCTGTTATATAATGTTCTTTTTGTGTTTTTTGTTTCGTTATATTGACATTCAAATATGTGTTTCTCTGTAATTGAAATGGCTTTTGAATTTGTGAATAAATAAATAAATAATTTCATTAAAATTATTGGAAAATTTACAACTTTCCACTTGTAAGTTCTGCAAGGAATTCGGTAAACTCCAGGTGATGCTAAAGGACCTCTAGGATCTTTATCTGATCTTAGACTCTCTCTGATGGTTTTCGTTGGCCTGACTATCTATTTCACGTCGTGTTTTTCTAGAACTAACCACATTTTCTGCATATATAAAAGGAAAGCTTCTTCATTGACAGGCCTATTTCGAGCAGCCTTGGCATACCCAGAAAAGAGAATGCCAAAAAAAATGATTTCAAGATTTCAAAACTTCATTATTTTCGAGTTTTGAACTGCATCATTTTATTTTCTTTAATCGTTACTCCGACCGTGAAAGCCCATGTTCTTATATGGCGACCTTGAATATATGACAGTCATTTTGAGGCCAACAAATCAAAATTAAACCTTTTTAATTAGATCTTATATTTGAGATTAGGATTTCATTATGAAAATACACAGACGTTAAAAATAGTAAATAGGGGATAACAAAACTATAAAGTAACAAATATTGTAAACACTTTCATTACAACTTTACTACAAAGTTATTTAAATATAACGCCTTTCAAATAAAAATTCTCTAATCAATTTTTGGATGTGAGTTGAATTGTGAAAAGTTTCAATTTTCACAAATAAAATTTTTATTCTAGATGCGTTCCATTTATTTGTGAAAATTGTTTAATTATTATCATGGATGATAGCAATACAAACAATCCAATAAACTTGATGAATATTTACAACGTCTAGTAGGTACGTACCTCAATGTGCAATTTCAAATTGTTTGAATTAAATATATTATCAATTATTAAGGTCTTCCTCTGCAATGCATTGTTTAAATAATTAATATTGAAATCATCTGTTAATAAAATAGAAAATTCAAATTTCTTTTTCGACCAGTAAGTCATCGCGATTGTGAATATTAGATATGTGGTTGAGTTTTAAAAATTTTTCATGAGCAAGAATTATATAATTCCACCATGAATAAATCTACTATGGCAGAATTTTGACACTGTAACGTAGTTCAGTAGGTGAAAACGTTCGTTTGAGTTGACTATATATTCAATAACATCAATGAGATTGTCTGATTTTTGATTTTTTTTTTATATGATTCTCAAGAATAGGTATGTGTATTTGATGCATTCTCAGGTCTGTCACATGTTGGTTGGTAATTCTTGACTCAATCGAGGATACACAAAATTTGTATGTGTGAATTTTTCACCTGCTTCGCTCAATTTCTGTGCAAGTGAGGATTTATTAGGATGCGGGTCTTTGGGGTAGAGTGTCAAGTTACATTCAAGCCAGGTTATCATTTTTTCAGTATTTTGTTCAAGAAATCTCTCTAGCAATTTGCAGACATACCATTATAGGTACTACTGTTCTGTTTTATGTTTCTATCATCTTGCTAGTAGTGTCTTCTCTGTAAAACATTTTTACATTGTTACTGTAGATGAGAGTCCTGCATGAAGAGCTTCTTTTAGTAGAGACACAACATTTTTTTGATATATGCCGTCATATTTATATTCAATGTCGAATCTGTAAGGTTCTGAGAAGTCTAGAATGTTAGTATTATTCATTTTCGATGTAAGCTCTGTTGCTGAACATTTATGGTTTCTGTCAGGCCAGATAATAACGGTGTCAATATTTGTAAAACTTTTGCTAAGATTCACTGCTGTTTTTATAAGTCGGCCGAGATTTTCACTGTGAATATTCTTTAGGTTTAATACGCGTTACGTAGCCGTAATATCCAGTCATCGGTGATATTAACTCAAGATGTATAAACCTCTGAAGAAGCTAGCCACTCGCGCCAGCTAAACTTCAGGAAGAAATTCCAAAAATCCACGGCCTTCAAACCCGAAGGATATCCACACAGCCATATTTCGTTCATTACTTTCAGCAACAAGAAGAATTGTTTTATCTTTAATTCTGTCTTTCTGGTTGTTACCCGATATATTAGCAATATGATCTCTTTTGAATTGATTTTTCTGCTTCGTTCATTTATTATCATTTTTATTTCCATCCTGTGTAGTGCCCACAAAAAATGTTATAATTATATCTACGCCACTGGTATTATATAGCGATGAGTCAGTCGGGGTTTGTTTATATATTTCTGTACAATTTGTAAGGACTCTTTCACACGGGGAGCTTATTGTCTCTCACTCCTAAACGGGAGCATTTATCACTTCCTTGGCTCCTTGAGGTCAGTCGTAGATCGCACGCGAGCTGTTGTCATATACCTTCTCTACCGTCGACATAAACGTCAACGATCAAGAATGGGATGTTGTGAAATCTACGTTGAGCACCTTGCAGATGTCCACCCAACTTTTTACGACTTCATTTCACTCCTTATATATGTGGGTGCTTTTATCCCAAAGAGCGGGTCGGTTGCAGACAACGCTAATTAACAGCTCCAACTCGTATTCTGCCATTATAAATAGTGTGAAGCCGTTTTCACTCCTCGTGTGGAAGCCCTCAGTCATCCTTTTGCATTCTGGTAAGGAGACGTGGCTCTCTGGCTCGAGGTGCAAGAGACGTGAGAGCTCTCGTCTCCTGAGACGTGGCGGCTCCCGCTCTTCGTCTGAAAGCTTCATTGGACTCGTTGCATTTTCGCGCTAAGAGCCTTCCTTTCTCTCGGGAGCGAGAGATGTGAAGCTCCCCATGTGAAAGGAGCTAACTGTTTGAGTTTCTACACTGCTTTTTGGCTTGTTTTTATTCTCAAGTTATTTTTTAAATATTTCAATTTGTACATTGAGCTCGGATATTATCATTTCTTGTTTTACCAGTATTTGATTCATTTATGTTTGTTCTTGGTGTCACTGTCCTCACTAAGCTCTATTATAGTTTTTCCAAAGTGCTGATTTCCTTTTCCTCAATATTGATGGTAGCTGCTTCACTGGTCTTTTCAGAACAACAAATAATCTTATAACCCTTGAAAATGGAAAAAAAGCTGGAAAAACAAGAGAGTTATAAGGGAAGTAAACCATATCCATCCAACAAAAAAAGCATCCCAAACAATGATCACCAAACACATAGGTATCTATTGGGTAAAATAAACAAACTTCCTCTCCCTGGCCAATCAGATTTATCTGCAATTGGCTGACGGAATTCATTGTTATAGTGTTGGAGTGGTCAGTTACGTTTTAACGCCTGTGGTGTTTTAAAGTTAAAAACAATTTCTATAACCAGCCACATATTATTAAAAAAAATTTTGGTCGTACTCTAGTGCGACTCTATACAAGCAGCCTTGTCTGGGAGATCACGTGCACTATGCATGATAATGTTTTGGAGCACTTTGTTGTTTGGTTGGACAATATGGTTGAAACGTTTAGAGCAACATGAATTGAAAATAGAAACAGCAAGCAAGACCAAGAATCAAGAATGCTGCAGGATTTTGAGAAGCAACAATTTGA